GTTTGATTCCCAGCACCACAGAAACAAGTGTACATAAGAATAGAAATAATCGAATTTTAAAAGTATTGTTGCATTTTAGTAAAAATAAGCAGAGGTTAGCTACCACTTTGGTGATAGACATTAGCGATGTTTTTTTTCTGACTTTCCTCACTGTACTGACCTCCCCCCCAGGGTTACTTATTTTTAAATTTGAAAATCAGATTATTTGGATAGTTAGTTCATGAGAATATAGAACATCTGGGTCTTCAGAGGCAAATTTAATACTAAACTCCAGAAACATTAGGCTAGCTTTGCAGAGCAGGTCAGGGGCACTTCCACACGTCCGCCTGTGTGATTATGTTGCAGGAGTCTGCTCCATCTGGTGACACTTGTAAAAGGACTGGATAATAACACACACACACACAACCCTGATGTTTGCTCTTACCTCCCCAGTGTTTTGGGTTTGGGTTTGCTATGCCTTGTCTTGTTTTTAAGAGAATCCATATGCTTAGAAAGAAACTTAATTCACAGTGTTGGCATCTAAGGGAAAGCCAGATGCCTCTGTTTCATCTTTCTTTGCTATACCTACAAAGAATGAGTTAGTGCAGCATTTCCAGTTTCCACAGCCTTTAGATTCCCAGCATTTTGTCTCCTCTTCTTAATAGAGGATTTGGCATAAGACACAGCAGTGTCCTAGCCAAAGGGGAGTCTCCCACTTGGAAGACAAGGCCTCCCAGAAGCTTTGATGATAAATGAGGGAGGCCCTTCATGGTTCAGACAGACTACCAATATACATGTCGTGGAAACAGAGCAAGCTATCTGGAGACAGCGAAGAAAGAAAGGTTTTTAAGTGTCACACCACTTGTCCCGCTCTTGGCACTCGGTTGCTCCTCTTCTGAGACAGGATTCAACTGTGACAGTTTCTCATGTTAAGTGCCCTTAGTCTTTACCGTTCAGGTAGGAGCCAAGTGAATGCTGTCTTGCTGGGGGTTTTCTAGCTGAGATTAGCGTGTTTCAGTAGTTCAGTAGTTCTTCCTTCCATTTAAAAACCTTTTTGCTAAAAAAATATCTCTTGTTCCCGGGTGGGGGG